AAATTAAATGTATATAGTTCTTATACACATTTTAATAAAAAGCAAGCCACGGCAAAACCCGTGAAGATTAAAAAAAAAAAAAAAAAAAATACTTTGGTTCTAAAATAACTAGTAAAACTATGACCCACAGTTTGATTAAGTTACTTGATTTAACCTTGTGACTGTAAATGATAAGGCTGACTATGCCTAACTGTAATGTTGAGGGTCTTGCAAATTTGCATAATTATTCCTGCAACAAATTCTTTACTATTGTTATTTCCAAAGGCCCAAAAATCTTGAAGACATCTTTGATAAGATGCGTTACAACTGTGCTTGCTTCTTTATTTTTTATTAAAACTGCAACTAGAAACTTGAAAAATATACAAATACATGTAAGCAACTACAAAAAATTATTATTTATTTTAGTGAAATTACAAAAATCAACTAAATCGATTTAAACATGCTGCCATAGTCCCAATGATACTACTGAGATTATATCAGTTTTTTTTTGATAAAAATATTTATACTACAAGTGATATACTCATTTATATATGCTTTCACTTCTTCCTGAATGATTCCAATATGTCTTTTTGAAATCACAAGAAAAATTTTATGGTATTCTTAGTGGTTTATCTAGTTATAAAAATATTCCAATATCAAAATATGCATTTCTGTCATATTTAAAGACTATATAGCATTTTTCAGACTTTATTACACTATTTTTTACAATCAGCTTTGTATAAAGAACATTATTTTCATCAACTTCAAGAATCTTGTAGTGACAGATAAAGTTAGATTTTGTAGTGGAGTTTTTTTAAATGTTAGCAGGTACAGTTCTTGACTGAAGGAATTTGACAATTGCTTGGTATTTCTCTACTGTTTCTGGAATTTTTGAAGTTGGTGGTATGTTAAAAAAAAAAAAAAAACCTTAACAAGGCCTTTTTTTGTGTAGAGTATACTATGGGTGTTGGTGTTACTGTTTTTTTTTGGTAGCAAGTGGTGTTTGTCTTTGGAATTTAGGTAGAACTTTACAATATGAACCTACCTTTTCTATATGACAATTTGTTTTTTTTTGTGATGATCATGTTACACAAATGATTCCTGATTATGGGTCATGTGAATTTCACAAAGATCTGATTTCATCATGTTCTGTGATATTTAATATAGTCATCCCCCTTTATAATCACACATTTTGTATACTTAATAACTTATTTAAAAAATATGCTTATAAAGAGGTTGTGCTTATATAGAGGTAGTTTTTTATATGTTTACTAGTAATTTGTTTTTGAGTATAAAATGTGATAAAGAGGGGTTTTTATATGATGTGATCATAGAGGGGGTGACTATAGAGGGGGATGACTGTAACTTTTTTTTTTATGATTGTTGTCGATTAAAGTTTAAATACAGTATCTATCAAACTATAAGCTACAATAAATTTTTTTAATATTTTGACAAAGTTCAATAGGTTTTTTATTAATTTATAGAATTCAAATAAAATAAAAAAATTATTAAGAAGCCGTTCAGTTTTAAAATAAATGATCTACATGGGGTGCGAAAATATTTACTGTTTAGAGTGTTTAGAATTCTGCAATTTTTATCGTTATCCGCTATTTTCTGCACATAATTGTACAGATTTTTGCAGCTGATCCGGCCAGCACTATAAATATTATTTGGTAGCTTTATGCAGGAATCTTTAATTAGCTTAAGGCAATCGTCATCGGCTAACGATAAGCTACGCCTCAGATTCTGCAAATTCAAATCATCAATAAAAAGCGAACCAATAGAAGTACATTATTTAATTGCGGATTCTGTAAATTCAGTGAATTCGGCAAATGCACCGCAAAATTTGCAATATATATTTTTTTGTACTTGATTGGCTAATGTAAATCAATTGCCTGGGTAACTTTGGCTAATTTTTTGTTTAACATGATTTAACATGATAACTTTAATTGTTGATCGTGTAACGATTGAAATTAAAAAAACTGACATAATAAAAAACAAACTTTTGACATGAAGATCTGCTTTCAAAACTAAAAAAACTTGAGATAGATGTCTAGAGGGCGTTCTAGACTCTCGAGGTTAATAATAAACATGAGTTAGAGCTTCTTGATAAAAATATATTAATGATTCAAAATGGAACAACCCACTCCTATCGTAAAAGTGATGGGTTGGGGGACCTCTTTGAGTCGCCTTTCCCAACCAATGAGATACACCTCTACGCGGTGATTGGGACAAGTAAGAGAGATAATCTCTGAAACTAAGTATCTCAGATATTACGGTTTGCGTTGAGCTCTTGTTTACATTTACGTAACTATTGAAAAATGTCTACTCGCCAGTAAAGCTTGGCTGTCAAAATAATACCATCTGATTCAATCAATTCCGGTCTAGCATGCGAATTTGTGCGTATCAGTATCCTAACACTTTTTCGCCGTATACCAAACTTGGATTTCAGGGATCACCCAATAAGCTTTTTATTTTATGTAACCCTTAGGCGCCGCCCATTATAGCACATAAATTCGTAAATAAGCTTAACTATTTTACGCTTAGCCTACTTATTCTGGTTTATCGTATAATATATTTTTTACTTTACTTCCAATTTAGCGCACGCGCATCAATTAATACAGAAATGCAGGTACAAAAATTCTAGATGTGACCTCACAATATCTACATATAGATAAATGATAAAATAACTGCAAGAATATATTGTCACACCTATAAAGAATTATTGAAGACAGTTGGATTTGTAAAACGAAGTTCTCGCCTTTATCAAGGTTGTTAGTTCGTGTAACGAATATATACATTAAGATTAATCAAGAGGATGAAATAATTTGCATAGAAATAATTTCTTACGTACATACGTAAGTATCATTAATTTTACAAAAAAAAAGACAAGATGCCATGCTGTTCATTTTTGTGGAATTTGGAAAAACGTCGAGGATATGGTTTTCCAGATATATTTCGCTATAAGGGTTCCGTAAGTGTAATTTATTTCCATTTTATAAACCTTATATATATTATTCAATTTTGTGCTTCTAAAAATATAGGTGCTTCCAAGTTGTATTCCTATCATATTTTGTTCGACCCTGTTTGCAACTATCGTCACTGTTCTTTATCTAGTCTATAATGTAAACCTTCTCTTACCGGGTAGTTTAGGTACGTGTTGTTTCCATTAAATTTGAATTTTCTTATTATCCACTATTTATTCAAAGTTCTTTAAACATATAGTTGGTACCGTCGCTGTTGTAGTTGGTCTTCTCTTGGGTTTTAGTACTAGCAACGCTTATGATCGATATTATGAAGGTCGAAAGTTGTTTACTAAAATGTGGTTAGTATTAAATTTTGTTAATTATTTTTGATGTAAGCCGGTTATTTAAAACAGATGACGCCTCCTCAATAATATTGAACTTATTTTTTTGAACGTAGTACTCATGTTAGAAATTGCACACGTATAATCTGGGTCGGTATTAAAGGCGATCGTTATGAAAAAGAAAAGCATATTAAACTTCTATTGGCTTATGTTGTTGCCGTCAAACATCATCTCCGATGGGAATTCGAAACTGACTGTTCAGACTTACGTTATCTTCTTCCAGAAGATTTCCATTCATCTCTTTATGATCGTAAAAATACCGTTCCCAGAGATGAAGATCCCAAAGCCCCTGAAATTGCTGTTCCTAGTCAAAGTGATTCCCAACAATCGCTCACACAAAACTTGTTTGGATTACCATCCGCAATTAGAACACTTGCTAGGAGAGTTTCTCCAACCACTCTCAAAAATCTTCGTGATGCTCAATTGTTAAAATTTGCTGCAGATGAACTTGCCGTTGATGTAGACGCAAGCATGTGTCTGCCTCGTGAGTATGAATAGAAATTGTGTGAAAAGTGTCTAAGAAAGTTCTGTATAAATATTAATTCCATTGCTTGTGATTAGTTGAAATTATTCATCATCTAGGTTTATATTTTGGCCAAAAATTCCGTGAAAAAAAAGTAGATGGCACTCGTTTCGATATGCTTACTGGTAGTTTGAACACATTAATTGAAATTTTGGGTGATTTGGAAAGGATTGGAAATACACCGATTCCATTTGCCTATAATCTTCACTTGTAAGTTTTTCTATGGATTTATTTTTTTCGTTTAGTGTTTTAAAGCATTAATGATTTTCACATTACTCTTATAGGAAACAAGTCGTCACATTATATGGTAAATCATTTAATTAAATACTATCGATATTTCTTAATGAAACTAATCTGTCCATTTTATAGTTTGGGTCCTTCCATTTACTATGGTTAATGAACTCAAATGGTTAACTATCCCTGCTATTATGTTTATTTCTTTTGTTCTTTTTGGTGTTTTGGCTATTGGTATGTGGAATAAATTCATGTTTGTATCACGTAATTACGTTTATCTTAACATTTATGCTAACATTTTAAAAGGCGCTGAAATTGAAAACCCATTTGGTGAGTTATAACTTATTACTTTTATCAAATTCGTCTTGCGAAATTGTAAAAGCATTTCTTTATTCTTCTTTTCTATGTATAGGTTATGATGAGAATGATCTTCCATTAGATGATTATTGCAAGGTAAGAAATATAAGAAATGTGGCAACTGATACTGAAATTTTATTAAGTTTAGGCTAGGATTCATAAGTTAGAGTTGTTAATATGGGATAGGATGCTAAAAAAAAAGGACCAAATGAACAAAAAAATAAATTTTGAGGAAAATTGATAAAATTTATATTAAGACATAACCTCTAAAAGCTATGTGCAAAATTTTATTAATGCAACAGCATTTCTTCCTTAAGTGAAATGTTCTTGAGTTAATTAGGCTCAAAAAAAGTTGTTGATTTTGGTTCCTTTTCTCAACATCTAGTAGTTATAGATTAGTTGGCACAATAAATTTTAATTGCCCGTTCTTATTAAAATTTTTTTTTTTTTTTACAGAACTTAGAAGCTGAAATTAAATATATACAAAAATACCTTAATTTTGCTAGAAACGACGACTAAAAGTGAGTAAAATAAATTTTTTTTTATAAAAATAGGTTTATATATAACGATATTTATAAGACATTAGTCATGCTATAATTATATCGGATGATACAGTATGTGTCATGCAACAACGCGTTTTAACGATCACTTACAATATTAAAATTTTACAACAAATTAACAAAATTCTAATATTCATATTTATTTTCTAGTTTGTAGACCCGAAAATGATGCACAGTACTAGCTATAAAATTTTTAAATAAAAAATTTACAATGTTATTAAAAAAATCTGTTAGAAAAATGTGACTGACAAATTTGATATGATATGCATTTGTAATTTTTTTGCTAACTTAATAAAATTTTGAAAATTTCTTAAATTACACTGTATATCTTACACATATTATTATTGTCACGGATGATCGTGAAATCAAACCCTATTTAATATACGATTTTTTTTTTTTTTTTTTAAACTTCGACGATTTTGTCATTAACTTTTTATTACTTATTTAACTGAACATTACATATATATTACATATATTTTTAACCTATCTAAGTAGTTGTTATGACCTCATCCGGCTACCCTATATGGCACCCAGATGCAACCGTCTGCACCATCTCATATGTGAGATGGACATCCTCAGGTACCTCTATCAAGAAGCATCCTAAGTTTTGATTTAACTCAGAACTCTAATATTTTTACTAATTCATATATACCCTGCTATATATACTACTGTATAATCCACCTCTCATCACTTATTACATTACTCCTAATTCATTTCTTGCATAACTTCCAAATTGGTGTCCTAGGAGTGGGTGCTCTTCTTGCTTCCAGTTTGGTGTCTCTTGAGATGTTATTTTAGTTCCTAATCCATATTTCAAGCCAGGTGCTGCTACTATCCAAAGATCCATATCTCAAGCCATCTGCTACTGCCATTAGGAGAGCTGTTCGCATGATTTTAGGTATTCATGTCGTATACCACCAAATTAGGCTACTGTTCCTTTTATAGTACTTCCTATTGGTATAGTATTACAGAAGTCTAGATCCTTAGGATAGGAGTTAAGTACTTTATTTAATTATTGTTACAAGCCAGTAACCCGGGACCCGCGTTTCTGCTATGTTTTGTTATGCTTCCATGACTCCCATATAGGTTGTGCGACACATTACTCATTGGCCAACTTTATTTTTGTACCACTGAAGCGCTTGCTTCCATGCTTTTTGAGGTTTCTTTTAGCTGGTTTTCCTTGTTTCCTTGTGCCAAAGATGTTTTATATTTGGTAAAGCCATTCTCTTACCACAGCCTCTTACTATGTTCACCACTTCTCTCACAACTTTTGGATATATTGTATACAGTCATTCTCCCAATCAAGATCCCAATGCCGCCTTAGGGTTGTTGGTGCTACCTTGCCAATCATGGATTCACACATACAGCCTTCTGCAGTATTACCTTCTGTAACCTATATCACACGTAGTGCCTGATCTTCACCATGGCTCAGGACTTCTTCTAAAAATTCTTTATCAGCCAAATATGTACTTCATATGGTCTTACCGCCACAGGGTTTTACATTTAAAAGCCCCTGAAGATTACAGAAATAATTAATTAATTGATGATCCGCCTATCAATGAAAGAAAATTTCATATGATAACATGACACAGATCACTTATACGTGAGCAAGAATTGAAGTTTTGGGAGTATAAATAAAGTTACCAAATTTAAATTAATTTTTATGCAAAAAGTAAACCAATCAATAAAGCAGTACCACGAGCATCTAATCTCAAAATTACAAAATCTAAACTGTTTTCTATAAAAAGCTTATCTTGGACGAACATAGCATTTCCTATGTTTCATATATTTAGATTACTTATATATATATATAATCATATACATACAATTAACCTTTTATTTAATGCATATACTTTTAATTTTAGACTTTAACTTTGAAAGCAGACTAGAAATCATGAATCCTGTTTTGACGATGCTTAATAGTCTGTAATAATACAGATTTAAACATATTATGAACAAATGAGTAACGCCAAGAAAAAGCCCAACTCTGATCATATAAAATTTATAATCAGAGTCAGATTTCCCTATCACCTAGCACTAATGATTAATATCTATTTTTAATAGGGCAACTTCTCTTCTCCCCTTCTGCTTTCTTCTCATGTAAGAAGTCGAACTAAGAAAAGTATAAATTAGATCTACTGTTAACATTGTTGAATATTTAACTGTTCGGGGCGTTTTTAATTTTTTCTATTCCTATCAGCATTATCTAGCATAGATTACACTGTACTTTACTAGAATACTTAAACTTGGATAAGAAAATAGAAAAGCAATGGCAGATACGCTTTGCAATAACAGATTGATTTCTTTGGGCCTTTATAGTAATGAACGAATTAGAAGGTGAAAAAGAGTTGGCGGATGCGCTTTGCAAGAAGGTATGTTGACTTTGAGTCTTTGTTGCAATTGTCTTGGATTAGAATAATACAGTAGCAGATGCACTCTTCAAAATCATTATACTAACTTTTATTGATCTTGGTTGGAATAACCTTGGAAAAACAATAGCAGGCACACTTTAGAAGAACAACATGCTAATTTTTCTGGATTTTAAATATCTTCAATCAAGAGGAAATACCAACTTCTTTATATCCTAATGATAATAATCTTGAATCAACATGCTGACTTCTTTAGGTTATATATTATCTTGGATCAGAATGAAGAATAGCATTAGTAAATACGCTTTCGAGGACATCATGCTAACTTCTCTATACATTAATAATCTTTTTTTTTTTTTTTTTTGGTATTAAGGTGACCTCTTTGGTCTGGTGAACTTTTTATTAGAGTATAGACGAAGTTTTAT